AGGCCAAAGCCAGGAGCTGGGAACTCAACCCCAGGTCGCACACAGGTGTGGCAGGGATACGACCTCTCGAGCCATCACCTCTCCAGGTGCACATCAGCAGGAAGCTGGAATTGGAAGCAGAGCCAGGACTTCTACCAATGCGCTCTGCTACAGGAGGTGGGCATCCCAGCGGGGGTCGGGGGTCTACTCCACCAGGCCAAATGCCTGCCCCTTGGGACTTCCGTCATGGCTCCACGCCAGTATCCACGCCCGGAGCTACAGCCGTGCATTTTCATTGACACACTGTATGCAAGCCATACATACAGCACAGCCTCCTGCCCTCCTGGAGGAGGGTGCTGGGTGGTTTCCAGCTCAGAGCTTTTATGAATGACACAGCTGCGAATGTTCCGGAGTTCTCTCGGTGCTTTGAGAGCCCCACGCTCTTCCCGACTTGCAACCCTCGCCGGTGCTTGTGCCTCTGCTCAGGCCTCTCTGCCCTGGCCTGCACCCTCTCCTGCCTGGGCCCCTCGCAGGTGCTCCTCCTGCATCCCCCATCATCCCTGACTCAGCTCCTTGCACAGGGCCCTCAACACACAGCCATGCATGCGTGATGCCTTCATCGATTCGTGTTAGCAGCTCCGCAGGGCTGGCCTCCAGGGCTGCAGAGGCAGGAAATGTTCTGGGCGTGCCCAGGGAAGCAGGCTCCGCAGCCAGGCACTGAGCGCTGCCGCCGTGCGTCCCAGCAGAGGCCGGCGCCTGGGGGGGGTGATGAGCTGGGGGGCGGCGCCCACTACTCTGACCTGCTCAGTGCCACCCTCTCCCACGCCCCTCACATTAGCCCCCGTGAGGAGCCATTCCTAGGGGCTCTTCACGCAGCGGAAAGTGGAGGGCGAAATGGAAATTGCATATAAAGGGTGGGAAAGGAAGCAGCTGGAGAATATTGCCGACCGTGCGGTGTGATAGCCAAGGGCTTCCCAGTGCCGGCAGAAAGGGGCTTTAATTTTGATCTTTCATTATTTTTAATCTGGCAGATAATTAGAGGGAGATCAAATCCATCCCCCACAGCTAAAGATTAACCTGTCACGGCTGCAGCTCCCTTCCACCTGTCTCTGCACATTCTTCTCCTTTTACACACACACACACACACACACACACACACACTCCAAACCTCCCGGTTACATATATTGTTCAATTTATTTCAATACATTTGAGTCTGACGCTTCCCATGGCAAATACTCTCTTAGGAACGAGCAATATTTTCCCTCCCTTCAAATTAAGAACTTCTGATTGCTTTGCAGATTTAAAAACATCTGAGGGAAAACTCCCTTTTATGGATGAAAAAAACCACAGGGCAGAATGAGAGGCTGCAATAATCCCACATTATTATTTTTTATGAGAAAATAATAAGAAATGGGCAGTAGGCAATTGGCGTCTGTCTTCTGCACCCCACAATGCCCCTCTGAGAGCACAGCTGGGGTCCTGGTCCGCCATGGCGCCTCCCCAACCCCACCTCACCCCTTCACCCACTTTCCTGACTCTGCCCTTCCTCTCCCAAGCTCAGGTACAGTCCCTCACTGACCCCAGCACACGCAAATGGAAGGCACGCCCACCTCCTCTGTCTCAGCCACTCCAGCCAGGCCCGCTAGTGAGGTTGCATCATAAGAAACTGCCATTCTTGTGTTCCCCCCAAATTGTCTATTTTTTTGACAGGCAGAGTGGGTAGTGAGAGAGAGAGAGAAAGGTCTTCCTTTGCCGTTGGTTCGCGCCCCCACAATGGCCGGCGCACCATGCTGATCCGAAGCCAGGAGCCAGGTGCTTCTCCTGATCTCCCATAGGGTGCAGGGCCCAAGCACTTGGGCCATCCTCCACTGCCTTCCCGGGCCACAGCAGAGAGCTGCACTGGAAGAGGAGCAACCCAGACAGAATCCAGTGCCCCAACCGGGACTAGAATTCGGGGCGCTGGCGCCGCAGGCGGAGGATTAGCCTATTGAGCCGCGGTGTCGGCCCCCAAATTGTCTATTGTCAGCGATTTCACATGGCTTTGACCTACTCGTCGGCTCCCTCCACCAACCCGGGACACACAACCCCACATGAAGAGCTTCCTGCCTGTTATTGTTCTCTCGTCTCAGGCATGGCTCCTGCTGCTATAAGCACCTTGGCCTTCACTCTTGTTGAACGTGATCGGAGACAGAGCAGCCACCTAGTTGACCATGGGATTTCCTGTTTCATAACCCCCTAGGCGTGTTCTGTGTTTGACCCTGAGCACCTGCCCCAAAGTCTCCAGTGAGAGAAGAGGTCTGGGGTAGGCATCCACCCACCCAAGGATAAGAACACCTTCCAGGCACCCACTCTTCAGTGTGCCGAATGCTTTCATGTCCGTTAACACGCAAGGCAAACCTCACTCCAGTTAGAATGACTATTATCCAAAAATCAAAAAATAACAAATGCTGGCAAGGCTGTGGAGAAGAGAGTATTCTAATAACACTAGTGCAAACTGGTAAAAACACTTGGAGATTTCTTAGAAAACTAAAAACAGATCTACCATACAAGCTAGCCATCCCACTCCTGGGAATATACCCAATGCAAATAAAATCAACATCGGAACCAGGTCCCTGCACGCCCACGCTTATAGAAGCTCAGTTCACAATAGCAAAGATACGGAATCCGTCCAGATGTCCGCCGAGTGACGATGCAGACGGAGGGTGCGTCATTCCGTGATGGACTATTACTCAGTCATCAAACACAATGGAATTCTGACATTTGCAAAATGGATGCGACTGGAAGTCATTATGCTAAAGTGGAATAAGCCAGACCCAGAAAGACAAATACTGCATGTTTTCTCTTATTTGTGGAAGTTAACATATAGAGAGTATAAAAAGTGTGTGGCTGTCATATTGCTTCGTGTAGCGTCTTACATATTACGTCACTGAATCATCCCCTGCACATGACAATATGCTCTGCTTCCCCCCGTTACGATCAGGACCATGAAGCCCTTACTTTGTGATATTAACGTCTCTGTCAAGAAGAAAATACAGCATGTATACATATAGGTATGTAAACAATCTCTGCATGTGCAGTGGATGCAGTGAAAGGTTAAAAGGTGCTAAATTTTGGAGCTGGCGCTGTGGTGCAGTAGGCTAAGCTTATCCCCTGTGGGTGCCACTTTGTGTCCCGGCTGCTCCTCTTCCAATCCAGCTCCCTACTATGGCCTGGAAAAGCAGTGGGAGATGGTCCAAGGGCTTGGGCCCCTGCGCCCACATGGGAGACCCGGAAGAAGCTCCTGGCTCCAGCTCCAGCCATTGTGGCCATTTGGGGAGTGAACCAGTGGATGGAAGACCTCTCTCTTTCTACCTCTGCCTCTAACTCTGCCTTTCAAATAAATAAATCTTTTTTTTTTTTAAAGCCAGCCTGAGCCTCCATGTCCCATCTGTAACCTGCATGACCCCACTGCACCTGGCCGTGCACAGGTAGGCTTAGTAGAAATGCTTCTTTATTCCGAGGCGGAACCCAAGCTCGGGCAAGTACAGTGACTCACCTGAGGCCCGCTGGAGCTCCTACCAAACCCTAGGTCTCCAGGGCTCCCAGGCCACACCGTGTCCTTCTTCCCAGGGGCTCCCAGCTCCTGACTGTGGAAGCACGGGATGCTGAAGGCGTGAAAGAATGGGCCCTGCCCCTACCTGGAAGGGCTCTGGGAGGGCCCACGCACAAGTCGGCTCTGCATTTCCCCCACAGTGGTGCCTGCCTGGCCATCTGCTCGTCTCGGTTCCCATCTGCTCTGCGCACAGGCAGCGGGGAGCCGGGGCCTACCTGCCGCGGGGGGCTCAGCCCCTGTCTGATGGCCTCGGAACAATGCTCCCACCGGCCCAGGAGATCCCGCCTCCCCCAGGAGTCTTGGAAACGGTGCCCTCTCACTGGCTCCACCCAGAAGAGCCTTGTACTGGCTCCTTTTGACTTCACACTTAACACACGTGCAAAGGGGAGAGCGTCGTCTGGTTTTGCTTCTCGCACATCAAAGAAACGCACTTGTCATTCACCTTCTGTCTGCTCTGACTTGAAAAATGCAGACATCTTTCTTGTTTGCTGACTCCCACCTGGAACCTGGGTTCCAAGGAACCTGGAACCAAGGGGTGGAGAACGCAATATATCTTTTTTTTTTTTTTTTTTTTTTTTTGACAGGCAGAGTGGACAGTGAGAGAGACAGAGAGAAAGGTCTTCATTTACCATTGGTTCACCTTCCAATGGCCGCTGCGCTGGCGCACTGTGCTGATCCGAAGCCAGGAGCCAGGTGCTTCTCCTGGTCTCCCATGTGGGAGCAGGGCCCAAGCACTTGGGCCATCCTCCACTGCCTTCCTGGGCCACAGCAGAGAGCTAGACTGGAAGAGGGGCAGCGGGATAGAATCCGGCGCCCCAACCGGGACTAGAACCCGGGGTGTCAGCGTCGCAGGCAGAGGATTAGCCTAGTGAGCCACGGGCTGCGACGTCTCAACCTTGCCCAAGTCATTCCAGCTTCCCTAGTATCCAATGATAATAGGACAGTTTGGTTCTTGGTCTTTGGAAAATAGGATGAAACTGCCAGCCTTTCTTCCAGGAAAAATACACACACACATGCACACTTGGGTTTCTGGGCTCCCAGACACCCTTAAAGACTTCACACACCTGTACCTTCCTCCCCACCAATCCACTCGTGCACCTGTCTCTCCAGCCCACTGGAACCCTCCAAGGTCTCCCCGACTTGAACCTTGTGCCTGTTTTCCTCCACCAGGGACAACCTTCCTCTCTCTTCTGTTTCACATCCTACTCAGCCTCTAGGCTTCAGCTCCAGAGCCAGCTCCTTATCAGCTCTCCCATGAGGAATAGGCTCCCCCTGCTCTGTCTTCCCTGGGAAATTCACCTTTCTGATTGTGGTCGTTAGCACTTTCTACATTTACGTGTGGGTCTTGCTTCTCCTACTGGCTTGTGAGCTAATTTCCTTCTGTAATCTTTCTCCTGGCTCACAGTAAGTGCTCAATAAACACTCAAAATGAATGGATATGGTTTCTTCAATCCCTGCATGGTACAAATGAGATGCAAATGAATATGCAAATAGATGAGATGTCCATGAATACACAAATAGTCACTTCTCAGACTTCTTATTTCTGTAAAATCTTCAAAGGCACTTGGGGTCGGCGTGTGCTGGTCTGTAGGACCTGGCCGTTGAGGAGCTCTTAGGAATCAGCTGAACCCCAGAATTTCAGCTGCAGGTCGGCTGTGTTTACGTGGGTGGGCTATTCGGCAGGACAGTCAGATGATTCTTGGAAGAGTCTGTTCAAGTTCTAGACTCGCGTCTGCACAGGCAGGGTCCCTCCTCTTAGTGGCCGAGGGGGCTGCAGCCTGAGGGGCCGAGGTCTGGGTTTGGAGGACTCCTGATTAATGTGACAAAGCGCATCCCCTGGTCCTATTTCAAGGCCCAGCCAGGGAACTGAGCCCCCGGGAGAGTCCTAGTTCTCTGCTCTTAGAATGCTTCTCCTGTATCCAGGGTTCTACAAAGAATCCCCCCGCCCCTGGGCACTCGTGTGCCGGTTCTGAGCACGGCACAGGCTGCCCGAGATGAGAGCCAAGTAAGAGGCAGAGCCTGAGCTCCTGGTGAAACAAACATCTCCAGATCAGGTGCGAAGCTCTCAGGCGGGCGGGCTCTTCCCTTTAGAATAAAGGCACTTGGTTGCTATGGCGACAGGTGGTAAACAAAGAGGGAAGAGGATTATGAACTAGAGAGAGAGGGGGGCTTCTGGGCTTCGTGTGAGTCCGGCTGCAGACACACATCTGTGGGTAGGACACACATCTGTGGGTAGGAGGCCACAGCTGACAAGCCGGCTCACAGGCTGGGCGTGGCCTATGATATCAAGGGGACACGCACCCCGATTTCCCGGGCCTGGCTACCTTCACTTACATTACCCTGGGACCCCCAAGAGTTATGATCCCCTAGGGAAGGAGCCCTGTTCCCAGGAACATCTACACCAGGGAAAAAGAACCCAATACTTGGAAAACGGCCCCCTCCACGGGGTAAACCGACCTTCCAAACAGTAATCAATTGGTGGGGAAATCAGCTCGTTTTAGAAGCGGTCAGGGAATGTTGTTCACTCACCTCCACTTCAGGCAGAGAACAAGAACTGAGGCTGCCCATACACCCCGAGACAGGAGGATGATTCCTGTTGCCTCTCCTTGCGTTTTCCTTCTCACACAAAGTGATGCTTTGAGTGTCCAGATGGAGAGACCGATGCAGCGACGTGGCGAAAAGGAGAGAGCCTGGGCCAGTTTGCACCCTACCTCGGCTGGGCATTGTGACTTGGAGCGGGACACGTGCCCTCCTGTTTCCTCACCTGTGATGCTGGGGGCCAAACCACGGTGCACACAACACTGTCGCCTCCGGAGCTGGGGAGTGACCGGTCACCGGCACCCAACCTTGGCAGGAAGGCCGCTGGGCCAGTCGGCAGCCCTAAGGGCCAGCGTGTGTCCAAGGCGCGCAGATTTCAGGCAGCTATCTTGCACATCATCATCATGACAACCCAGCCAAGGAGGTACCTTGATGCCCACTTTACAGACAAGATCCGAGGACAGAGCAGCTTGGCCGAGCCCACTGTGCAAAGCTCAGAATGTAAGGGTTTCGCCCCAGAGCTGCCTGACGCTGAGCCCAGTGCCCCACCAGGATGCACGCTGCTGCTCTGTCAGGGAGGCTTGGAAGGGAGCTGACTGGCTCCTAAGATCTGATCTGTGCCCTATCGACAAAACGAGGGGGTTGACTTAACTCCTGGGTTCTAGGAACTTCTTGTAACAGAAAAGACCTCTTCCTCGCCAGTGAACTCTACCAAGTGCCAACGTATAAAACAGACCATTGCAGCCCCTCCCTGGCTTCCACCCAAATGTCCACCCACTGATGAACGGACACTGAAATGTCTGTACAACGAGATACTATGACACATTCGACGACACGGGTGAACCTCGAGCACGTTAAGTCAAAGACGCCCACCACGCGAGACCGTGTGTCCTACAACTCTGTTTACCTGAAGCATCCAGAATGGGCAAACCCGCAGGCAGGGAGCCCATGGGTGGCGGCTGGGCCAGGGGAGGGAGGAGTGGGAGCGACCGTTTTCTGGGTGTGGGTTTTCCTTCTGAAGCCATGAAGCATTTGGAGCTGAAGGGGGCGATGGTTGCACAGCATTGCCACTGCACTCAATGCCACTGATGTGTGCACATTTAAATGGCTGATTTTCTTGTATGTCAATTTTACCTCCATAAAGATGATGTTTCCGGAAACCTATCCCATCAGCCTCTCCCTTCCCATGTCCGTACAGTGCTCTACGACACCCTGCATGAAGATCAATAGTCACTAGACACTGTGAAATGTCACCATGGTCAAAATCATTCTCAAATGATAGCTGTTTACCGCCTTCCGGGGCCAAAGGTGCATTATCTAACCCGCCAACTTAGTACAAATATAACCTTCCACTGGGGGTAACCAGCTCCAAGGCGGATTCTAGCCTATAGCGCTCTCACAGCTTCAGTTATAGAATATGTCATTGGCTTCAAATTCAAAACTCTACCAGGAAAGAGACTAATATTGTTGAGTGGGGAGCTAACAGTTGTTAAGTGCCTACCATATCACTTTTTCTCATTTTTCGTTTAAATGTTATACCCATTTTATAGACAAGGATACTGAGGCTCAAAATAGCTATATGACATTCCCAAGGTCAGGATTTTGAATCTCGGCGGTGTAAGTTCAAGGAGACGATGCCCAGCTGGATAATGGTAGGGTCTAGCTCCTCCCTCCACGTGGAAGTCCTATGGCCTGAGGATGGTATTCAGCCCCACCAACACTGGCCCCAGGCCTCAAGGCCCAGGGATGTGTCAAGACACGGGATGCATGGACACGCGTGTGCAGGGTCCCTTCTAGGGTCCCCTCTGCACCCTCCCAGAGCAGTCTGGGGAGCTGAGGGGTGCTGGCCGTCTCATTTCTCCTCCAGTGTGTGTGTGTGGGAAAGGTGGAGACCTGCCTCAACAGCCTTGCTGACAAACTGGCCCCAGCAAGGACCTAACGAGGGGCCCTTCAGACCCTCTTGGGCGAAAGCCTCGCAGAGGGAGAGCGGGATCCTGCGTTTGAAAAGGTTTAGCTCAGATTCTGCGCAAACACGAGCAACCCGACTTCCAAAGGGAACTGCCAGCCTGGACGTCTTGGCTCCATCACTCTACCCGGTTGCAGCCACACGGACTTGGAATGGACAAACAAACAAACAAAAACCCACTGTGCATTTTCTGTGCACGTCACTCAAGTGCGGTGCCAAGTTATTTCTACTCCGTGGAGTTGACGACGATTTCAACCTTTTCCTCTGCAGGGGAAAGTTATTGTGATGATGATAATCACCCCTTACGTATAAATACACTTTACAGATTACAAAGTGTCTCGTGCATAATCATCACCGCTGGGTTTAAAAGGAGAAAGAAAAAAACGTGAAACGAAGGGAAAATATCAGTAAGTGGCATTTAGCTATCAACATACAGACTTACATTGTAGGGGGAAAAAAAGGCGGGGAGATGAAAGGGTTTTTATATTAGAATTGAAGTCAGGTTCTTCAAGTTCTAACTGTTTCTGGTTATCAATAAAAAAAAGTCAATGCTTTTTAAATTAAAAATGAGGGGCTGCTACTTATGACTTGATAAGTTGTAAAATGCCTTTTCTACCCTCCCCAATCAATGCTCCTGAGCCCCACTGCTATTAAATTTTAGATCAGCAACTCATATGGATTATCTGGGTCTATGAGGAGCAAAACACAGAGCAAGAAGAAGACGGGGAATTTTGTTGCAACGCCATTTATAAATGTGAAAAGGCAGTGAGAGCCCTCCAGCTCTTCATGTGTTGGCAGCAGACGGTAAGGCGGCTCCAGCCACAATACGGCTTTTGAACTTCTTGTCTCTACTGAAAGAATCAGAGTGCCAGTAGGTCAAGGTCAAGCTCAAAAACCTGTGCCCATCGTCTCATATTGGCACGGCCACTGAAGTCTCCCCACGGTGCCACCCCGTGGCTCAGGGCCTCATCTCTGCTGAGATCAATAACTACTAGAGAATACATGTGCAAGGGATGAGTTTTACTGCAATCAATCTGACAAAATGCAATGATTCTATTGCTTTTCCTTAGGGGTGGCTACAGGGAGGATGTGCATACACACAGGTGGACACATCAAAAAACTTCGTGGCAAGTGGAATTGAAAGATCAGCTTGGGGCTGGTGTAATGGGCAGCGGGTTCAGCTGCTGCTTGTGAGGCTGCTTCCAGAACCAGCTGCTCCACTTCTGATCCGGCTCCCTGCTAACGTGCCTGCTAAAGTAGTGCAAGATGGCCCAAGGGCTTTGGTCCCCGCCCAAGGAAGGAGTTTCAGGCTCTTGGCTTCAACCTGGCCGTTGCAGCCATCTGGGGAGTGAACCAGCAGATGGGAATCTCCTTCTTTCTATTTCTCCCCCTCTCTGTCACTCTACCTTTCAAATAAATAAATCTTTAAAACAAACATAAAAGCTTATTCTGGTACAAGAAGACTTGAAACCCAAGCATGTGAGAGGTCTTTGAAAAGTTGGTGTAAATGTGTGCTATGAAAAATATTATGCAAGGATTTCAAATCTTTCTGCACCAAAGCACTTTGTCTTTTTATTTCACTTCCTCACAAGCACGTTCTTTGGCCGCCCTGGTGTTTGGGACACTCAGAGGACGGCCCTGACACGCTGCCACCTTGTGGGAGGAATGGGTGGAAGTCACACCCCGCAGGACGGTCCCCCCAAGCTCAGGCGGCCAACACAGCCTGTATGAGGGAACCTCTTGGGACAACCTCAGCAGAGCCAGTGTCACCCAGGCGGACTCAGAACGCGACAAATCCCGGTTCAGGGTCATGCTTCCTGTGGGGCAGGGGCACTCCACCTTGGCCACACAGTGGGACCACCTAGGGGAGCTGAACCGTGACTTCGCCAAGCCCTCCAGCCCAGGCTAATTAAAATCAACAGCTTTGGAAGTGGAGGCCCCAGGACTGGGGGCCTGAAAGCTACCCAGATGGTTCTAATTGGAACCAAGCCCAGTTGGTAAGGGAGGAACCTTAAAGAACAAAACACACAAAATAAACAAACCAAAAGAAGCCCCTCTTGGTTGGGGAAGTCGGCGTTTCTCCCAGTGCTGAACCGCAGCAAATGCATACTTCAATGTCTGGGAATGCCTGGGCTCCTCTGCTACAGGAAGTGCTATGTGAAAAGCCTGTCTTTGATTTCGCTGCCCAAAACACAGGCACAATGATATTTACCCAACTCTCACTTGCTGGAAGCCAGGAATTTGGTAAAAACAAAACACCCAAGTGAAATGTTGACCATTGGACCATTGCTGCGGGTTGTCCCACAGGGAGGCACAAGGCACACCCCCACACACACCTGCACCCCAGAGTCACCCCCCTGGTGGCAAGGAAGAGGGGAGAACTCTAACCTGTACTAAAAAGAGCTGCCAGACATTGAGTACATTGCCTCAATTGCAAATGCTGAAACCAAAATCTTACGTTGCAAGAAAGCAAGGAACGAGAAGAAAATCAAAAGGAAGCAACCCTTACCATGTCCTGTGGCCTGTGGCGCCCCCCTCCTGTATTTTGTCTTGCTCTTCCTGGGATTTCTGGCTTGCAAAGAGGAGCAGGGGGCAGGGGAGAGCCTACCACCTGGGGAGACTGGGTTCTCAGAAGAGCCTTTCCGGCCAGGCTAATCCTCAGCTAGGGATTCACCAGCTGACCCCCATCGGTCAAGCTACTCCTGATTTTGAGTCAAGGGTTGCTTGGGGGTTGATATTTATAAACCGAAAAATAGAATTGATTATGTTGCTTAAAATGCAAATCTCCTAAATGTGACTCCTAACAAGGTTCCAAGACTTAACTTACTTGCTTAGGGTATGCAGCTGGTTAGCTGGCGGGGTCGATAGAAAGAGGGGGCATAAAAAACACTCACTGGTTGTCTCTCTTCTTCCTCAGAGGGTCCATGAGGCGCAGCGTGTCTCTGATCACAGCCACCTTCACTTCCTCGTCGACAACGCTGGGGACATTCTCAAACACCCCTGGGGAAAGCTTCAAGGGGGAGGGGTCCGAGTTACGGTGGGGACCGTGGTGCAGCGCCAACTAGCTCAAGTGCTCGCCCGGGGAAGTTTCGCCTGTGCTCAGCTACAGGAGAGATTAAAGGTTCCCTTTACTGCACTTTTAAACGTCCATGTCCTCTCGTAAGCCCTCAAAATACAGGAAGAGGGGAAATAGCATGATGTCTTTCAGATTACCAGAACTAGACATGTCCACTGTAGAAAACCTGGAAATATGGAGAGGGGTTAAGAGCATGAAAAGAAACCAAGTAATCCCCTACTCCCCACCCCCACCCCAAAAAACTCAATATTTACTGGATTTCCTTCTAACTTTTAAAATGCACTTTGGAGTGGGGAGGAGAAAAGATATCTCGCCACTATTAGATATACTATTTATCTTAGTGATTCAAGCATGTCGACACGGCTAAATCATATTCATAGAATTTCAATTAGTTCATCTCCTGAGGCTAACTAATTAGTTCATGTCAGAACTGATGGAAAGGCTCCACTGCCTGAGTTTCAGACCTTAAAGATGGGAAGAACAGCATGCTGGGAAATCACCATAGGTCGGATGGGTCTTATATTAATAGACTGTGCTCGGAGCGCATGCGTGCACGCACACACACACACACACACACACACACACACACACACACACACAGGATCTGACTTAAGCAGAACTTTGCTGTGGAACGTGGCTACGCAGGGTCTTGCTTAGCCAAGGGGAGAGGAGAGGCGGGGCGGGGTAGCGCCACCCACGGGAGGCTCACGGCTCTCACCTCTTGCTCGTGCTCGATTCTCATGCTGGGGTTGGCGTTGACTTCCAGGAGCACGGGCTTCAAGTTTTTCATCAGGAGGATGTCGAAGCCTAGAATCTGGCGGGATGAACATAACTCAGAATTACTCCCCCCAACCCCCGCCCCCCAGCCACAGTTTCCTTTCAGGAACTGCATAGGGCCCTTAGGGTCACGAAGTGAAAAACACGCTCAAACTCGGCCCCCAACCTTGGCCTTGACCCGGCCTTTTTTTTTTTTGTCCGCAGCCCCTGCTCCTCCGGGTGCGCTTGTCAGACCTAACGGGCAGCAGACGCTCTTCCGGGAGCCTGGGCAATGGGCTGCGTCCCCACCGTGCACTCCAGCACCATCTGTGCAGGGGCTCTGCAAGAGGCGGGCCTCTTTCTTCTGACGGTGTTAGGGATCAGCAGTCGTCCGTCAGTTCCCCCCTCTGCCTCCTCTGTCAAGCTGCTTTGGTGCCCAGGTCCCTGGACACTTAGGGCTGACTCGCTTAATCTGGAGAACACACCAGCGTCACATAAGGGAACCCTTTCAAAGCCACAGCATCCCCAACCCCGCGTCACAGGCTCAAGCAAATGGATTTGGAAAAGGAAAACAAACAAACAAACAAAAAAAAAACCACCACATCCTGCAGGTGATTCTGCTACACTCTACTGGTTAAGGAGAAGGAAGGATTTATTAGACACCCAGGAGGCACCAGTTACCGCACAACTCTTCACAAGCGGATGGAACCATCGTGACGGCGGCTTGCAAGGAGGAGTGGTGCTCTCCATCATGCGGAAATGGAGTTGCCGAGGCCAGTGGATTGCCCCGAGACTACCCAGCTAGATTTCGTACCCACGCAGGACTGACCACAACGCGTGTGTGATCGGAGGCGAGATCACGCAGGGACCCTTGTTCAAAGAGCATGAACAGATGCTTGACGTGGACAGCACGCCGTGAAACCAGGCACGCAGCCCTTCTGAGCGCAGGTCCCACACCTGTGCCCTGGCCCTGCGCCCCCGAGCCGGCTCACTGCGGCACCAGTTGTTGCACGCCTGTCCTTGACCCCAGCACGTGCCTGCGTCTTTCAGTTCCTTCCAGGCCCTGGGACGGGGAAGGGACAGCCCCTCGTGTGTACCCCGGTCTCTGCCTGAAACACTTTCACCTGGGTAATTCTTCCTCCTCCTCGAGCTGGCTGCTCCTAATTAGATTCAGGCTCGGGCTCCGAGGACTTCAGATTCTCGGAAGGACTCTCATTATCTTTAGAGAAGTGATAACGTGGAAAGTGGCTGACACAATTGACAGAACCCCAAAGTCTCCAAAAATAACGTGGAGAATAAAAGGAGGGGGAAAAAAGATAAAGAGTTTGAAGACTCCTCTCGTCTGTGGGCTTCAGCAGAAAAGTCGGGGGAAGTCACTGGCTTGTCCGTAGTAGACGCATTAGTTAGGTGATCATTATTCAACCGGAGCTCTGTCTTTACTAATGATATCGGGGCCCTGGACGGCCATTGCAGGGGACGATTCGAGATGAGGTTATTTTTCAAGAAGAGCAGTAAGGATGGAAAGTTGAGCAAAGTCACCCTCACTCTATTTTTCTTCCCGTGGTCGTGAAAAGAAAGGGCTGGGAAGTCGGCCGAAAATGTGACATGCGTTACAGATCTGCTGAATAATAGATGACAAGGGGAGGTGAGCGATGAGCCCTGCGGGATGCAGTGACATCACCGGCCTCACCTGGGACCTCGCCTGGGCTGTGTGATGGCGCTGAGGCCGCAGCCCTAACCTTTACCAGCCTCGCTCGCTGCCTCTTTCTTTGGGCCACAGCTCCGAAGTTTGCATTGGAACTCTCTCAGCCTGGTGGCCTCCTCGCCACAGATCCCTGCCCTACAAATCCCTCCATGGCCCAGAATCTGTGCCACACTCCAGCTTTCTGTCCAACACTCATGACTGCAGCGTATCTTGGGCTCAAGGTGTGCAGCACTCGTGATGGCTGTAGGATGCTTGGCTGTTCTCTGCCTGTTTTACACTCCTGCCTGGCAGGGGTGCTCACATACTGATTGGGCGCCTACTGAATACCAGGCACCGTTCTAGCCACTCGGGATACAGTAGTGAGCACCATAAAGCTCCTGCCCCTTTGGAGCTCCCATATAGAGGGCAAGAGACCGAGAGCAAGTTAATTAGAGCAAGGTAAGAACACAGAGTGTGACCCCGTGAGTGGGAAGAGGGCTTGGTGATCCAGGTAGGATGGCTAGGGAAGGGCTTTCAACCAGGGTGGCCTTTGCCATTCCAGTGTCTCCTGGCTAGCATAGTTTCTGGTGACAGCCTTGCCGTTATTCTTTGTTCTTCTAAACATAATGCATCTTTTCTCTCTGGCAGCTTTGTGTGTGTGTGTATGTGTGTGTGTGTGTGTGTGTGTGTGTGGTGAGCACCCTACTTGGAGCTTTTTTTTTTTAGCTTCTTGGATAGTGGTTTTTGATCATTTTTATCAAATTTGGAAATTTTTGGCCATTATTTCATCAAATATTTTTCTGTACCTTCCTTCTCTGTTCCATGCTGGGACTCCAATTATACATAGGTTAGCCCACCTAGAATTGTTCACTGAGAAATGGCTCCCTTTTGTCCCCCTGTGACTTTATGCTTTCTGTTGAACTGTGGATTCTACTTGCTATGTCTTCAAGTTCACACTGATGATTTCTTATTCAGTATCTGCTATTAATCCCAACCAGCAAAATTTTCATTGAAGATATTTTCTTTATTTCTGTGGAAGTTCTTCCCTGGGTTCTTTCTAAGAGCTTGCATTCCTCTTTTTAGGAAGCTCAGATTTTCCTACCGATTTATAAAAGCTGCTTTTAACATGCTTTCCCTATGAGTTGCTTCATTTCTAACATTTCTGGGTCTGTTTCCATTGAATGGTTTTCCCTCTGGTATAGGTTAGTTTTTCCTACTTGGTGCAATGTTTAGTGACTTTTATAAATGAGTTGGGTGCTGGACATCGTGATGGTACAGTGCTGAGTGTCTGGGCCTTGTCTGCCTTTCTAGGTGCTGGGCTTTATTTTAGCAATCAAGCTGTTTGCAGACCTGATGCCTCCGGATCCTGTTGTTGAAGGTTGACTGGGATGGTCCTAGAGTGACCCTCGTCTTGGCGGGAATTCCACCCCACACGTCAAGACAGAGCTTCTTTATGTCTGGATTGAAGGCTCCCAGCGATCACCAAGGACTCTCCCCACCGGCTGTTAAGAGCTTGACCACTGCCCCTGCTCTGTGGGAGCCCTGGAGCTTGTTCAGCTTATTAGTTCCAGGTCGTTCTTTGCAGGGGTTTGCAGATGAACACGCCACACCTGCTTGGCCGTGGGCTCCACAGAGGTCCACAGGGATTTCATGCAGACCCCTGTCCAAAACTCTGCCCCACAACTCGTGGTCACTTTTGCCTTCCCCAGCTTTGACCTCCAGCTCCTCAGTTCATTGAGGTCACTGGTCTCCATTAAGGCTCACTCTTCCTGTGTCCACGATCTAGAAATTTCCCCCAGACTCAGCTGGGGCAACCACAGGACTCGGCTTGCTTTCCCCCTCATCTGTCTCTCAAGGATCACGGTGCTGAGATGCTGCTTCTCAAACACTTATTTTGCATACATTTGCATCTAGATTTCTCATCATCTGGTTCTCTGCAGAAGGAGGCTAAGTTGTTACCCCCGCATGATCAGAAGCAAATGTCTCAGGAGAGGACGTATGGATCGGGGAGGAATGAAGTGAGAGAATAAGTCCTTTCTGAAGGACTGGGGAAGAGGGGGCAGCAGGGAGTGAGCAAGACAGAGAGTGGCAGGGCACGGGGTCAGACAGACAGACGGGGGAAGTCATGTTGCACCTTGTAGACCATGAGAAGGAGCCAGGATTTTAAATGCAATGGACAGGTCACTGGAGAGGGCCTGTGTTAGGGTGCAGTGGGTTAAGCCACCACCTGTGACACCGGCATCCCATACTGCAGAGCCAGTTCGAGTCGTGGCTGCTCCACTGCAGACCCAGCTTCCTGCTAATTGGCCTGGGAAAGCAGTTTAAGATGGCTTGAATGCTTGGATCCTTGCCACCCATGTGAGAGACCAGGATGGAGTTCTGCACTCCTGGCTTCAGCCTGGCCCAGCCCTGGCTGATGCAGCAAGTTGGGGAGTGTCCCGATGGATGGAAGATCTCTTGGCCTGTGTGTGTGTCTCCCTCTTTCTCTGTGATTCCATCTTTCAAAGAAATAAAATCTCTCTTTTTAAAAAAGTTGTTCGAAGATTTAGGCATGGGAAGTAATTTGATCCAACTTGTGTTTTAAAAGGATCTGTTTGGCTACAGTGAGAGGAAGGCTATTGGCAGCAAGGGTGGAAACCTGGACATCAATTAAGAGGCCATTGCTGTAGTCCAAGTGCCAGGTGAGGGCTGCTGGGCAGAGGTGGTGACGGCAGCAGAGCTGGTTAGAAGTGGGGTATATTGGAAAGCCTATTTGCAGAGCTGCTGATGGATTGGACGTGGGGAAGAGAGGATGAGAAAAATAAGGACGACTCGGGTTTCTGGTCTGAGTAACTGACTGAGTGCCCTTCACTGGAACAGGAAGGACCATGGTGCATTGGTCAGCATTTTGTTGCTGTAATGAAATACCCGAGGCAGGCTGCTTTATAAAGAAAAGAGGTTTATTCTGGCTTATGGTTGTCAAGGTGCAAAACCCAGGGGCCTCATCTGGGCTTCTTGCTGGCAGTCTCAGGTGGCACAGAGCACCACATGGAGGGAGACAGGGAGCGTGCAGGCCTGTGTGTGTCTGGTTTGTCTCCTTCTCCTTATAAAGCCATCAGGAGTCAGTAACAGGGGCTCTCCTCTAACGGCCTGGGCTAATGCGGTCACTTTCTAGAGGTGTAAACACTCCAGGCAGATCAAATGTCTACTCTCTTAATCCCATGAATGTGAGACAGGATTAAACTTCCTGCATGAGTTCGTGGGGGGAAAACCATGTGCAAATCATAACAGGCAACAGGGAGATTCGGGAAGGAAGTCAAGACTGACTCTAGACATGCCAAGTGTTTGATGCCTACCAGCCATGCAAGATTAAGTTGGACAGTGGGGTTTACCTG